TTAGAGGGAATAACTAGCAGACTAGAGGAAGCAAAAAAAATGGATCAACGACTTGGAGGACAGTGTAATGGAAAGCAATCAAGCTGCACAGGAGAGAGAAAAATAATAATTATAAATGAAAGAAGACTTAGGGAACTCAGCAAGACCGTCAAGTGTAATAACATTCACATTGTAGGGATCCCAGAAGGACAAGAGAAAAGGGAGAAAAAGAGAGAGAACATTTATTTGAAAAATTAACAGCTGAAAACTTCCCTAATCTGGGGAAGGAAACAGTCACCCAGATGAAGAAGGCACAAAGAGCCCCCAACAAAATCAACCCAAGGACTTCCTCACCAAGACACAGCAATTATAAGGACAAAAAGTAGTGGGCACATGGATGGCTCAGTAGGTTAAGAATTCGAGTCTTAATTTCAGCTCAGGTCATGATCTCATGGTTCATGAGATTGAGTCCCGTGTCAGCTGTGAGCTGACACTACAAAACCCACTTGAGATTCTCTCTCTCTCCTTCTCTCTCTGCCCATCACCCACTTGCACACACAAGCTCTTTCTCTCTCAAAATGAGTAAATAAATGTTAAAAAAAAAAAAAGGACAAGAAGTAGTGATACCCAGAGAATTTTAAAAGCAGTAAGAGAGAAGAAAACAGTTACATACAAGGGAAACCCATATGGCTAACAGCTGATTTTTCACCAGAAACCTAACAGGCCAGAGGGGAATGACATGACATATTCAAAGTGGTGAAACGAGAAAACCTGCAGCAAAGAATACTCTAACAAGTCTAGGATTCAGAATAGAACAGATTGTTTCTCAAACAAAAGTTAAGGAATACATGACCATTAAACCACCCCCAAGAAATGTTAAAAGGGACTTTGAGTAGAAAGGAAAGGTCATAAGCAGACCACAGGCAAAGTAAGAAAAGTAAAAAGCACAAAAGCAGTAAAATTAAGTACGACAAAACCTTGCATTGCATGTAACTTGTTCTGTGAGTGTTCCACAAGACGAGCAAACATTTCTAATAAATTTTAACTTGATAAACAAGTGATGTCTTGCAAGAGTAGTACGTGTATGAGTAGTATGTAACGCCAAATGTCACATGATAACAACTGAGCCAATGGTTCTTGAAATTTGCTTTGATATACGAGTGCTTTGGATCACAAGCATGTTTCCAGAATGAATTAGGCTCGCATACCAAGGTTTTACTGTGTATCTATAAAAATCAGTCAAAGGGGGGGGCGCCCAGGTGGCTCAGTCCGTTAAGTGTATATATACCCACACACAAATACACACAATGGAACATTATTTAGCCATTTAAAAAGTATGAAATCTTGCCATTTGCAACAACATGGATGGACTTTGAAGGCATTGTAAGTGAAATAAGTCAAAGAAAAACAAACACTGTATAATCTCACTTAAGTGTCTTATATGTAGAATCTAAAACACCTAAACTCGGGGCACCTGGGTGGCTCAGTCGGTTGAACGGCTGACTTCGGCTCAGGTCATGATCTCACAGCTTGAAGGCTCGTGAGTTCAAGCCCTACATCGGGTTCTGTGCTGACAGCTCAAAGCCTGGAACCTGCTTCTGATTCTGTGTCTCCCTCTCTCTCTGCCTATCTCCTGCTCACGCTCTATATGTCTCTCCCTCTCAAAAATAAACACTAAAAAAAATTTTTAAGTAAATAAATAAAAATAAAAAACCTAAACTCATATAAACAAGAGTGGCGGTTACCAGGGACTGGAGAGTAGGGGAAATGGGGAGATATTCATTACAGAGTACACACTTCCAAGTATAAGATGAATAAGTTCTGGGGATCTAATGTACAGCATGGTGATTACAGTTGATAATATTACATTATATACTTGAAAGCTGCTAAGAGCATAGATCTTAAATGTTCTCACCACAAAAAAGAAATGGTAATTATGGGATGTGATGGAAATGTTAGTAAACACTATGGTGGTAATCATTTTCCAATTTGTAACTACATCAAATTGACACATTGTACACCTTAAATTTACACAATGTTACATGTCAATTATATGTAAAGTTTGGGGAGGGGAGGGGAGGGGAAGAGGACAATTACGAGAGGAACAATTTAAAAAAAAATTTTTTAACATTTATTCATTTTTGAGAGTGAGACAGACAAAGCATGAGCGGGGGAGGGGCAGAGAGAGAGAGGGAAACACAGAATCTGAAGCAGGCTCCAGGCTCCGAGCTGTCAGCACAGAGCCCGGCACAGAGTTTGAAATCACAGATGTTGAGATCATGACCTGAGCTGAAGTCAGACGCTTAACCGACTGAGCCACCCAGGCGCCCCTAGAGGAACAATTTTATAAATAGATAATGGTGATAGTTGCACATTTTGTGAATGTACTTAATGCCACTAAATTGTATACTTAATGGTTACAGTGACAAAACTTTTTGTTGTATCTATTTTCCCACAATAAAAATAAGTAAACACTGGTGCCTACTGGCTCAATCAGTACAGCATGCAACTCTCGATCTCAGGGCCATGAGTTCAAGCCCCACATTGGGCACAGAGCTCACTTTAGTAATAATAATAATAATAATAATAATATAATAAACAACATTAAAAATACTTAGGAATACTTTCTTTTTTTAAGTACAAGACTTGTATACTGAAAACTATAAAACATCACAGAAAGAAATTAAAGAATACCTAAATAAATGGAAAAACATCCCATGTTCATGGATTGGAAGACTTAAAATTAGATGTCAATAATCCCCAAATTAATCTATAGATACAATGTAATCCCTATCAAAATCTAAGCTGCCTTCTTTGCAGGAAGTGTCAACTTTGTTCTAAAATTCATATGGAAATGTAAGGGACCCAGAATAGTCAAAACAATCTTGAAAAAGATGAACAAATCAGGGCTCACACTCTGGATTTCACAACTTACTACAAAGCAACAGTAATCAAGATTTTTGTGGTACTTGCATAAAAGGATAGACATAGACCAGGGGCATCTGGGTGGCTCAGTCGGTTAAGCATCCAACTTCAGCTCAGGTCATGATCTCATGGTTCATGAGTTCAAGCCCCACGTTAGGCTCTGTGCTGACAGCTCAGAGCCTGGAGCATGCTTCAGATTCTGTCTCTCTCTCTCTCTCTCTCTCTCTCTCTCTCTCTCTGCCCCCCCCCACCCTGCTCATGCTCTGTCTGTCTCAAAAATAAGTAAACATTAAAAAAATAAAAAAAAAAAAGAATAGACATAGATCAATAAAATGTTATTGAAAAGTCCAGAAATAGGCCCTCGGATTTATGGCCAAATAATTTTTGACAAGGGTGCCAAGACCATTCAACAGAAAAAGAATAGTCTCTTCAAGAAAGTGCTCAAACACGGGGTGCCTGAGTGGCTCAGTCGGTTGGGCAACTGATTCTTGATCTTGGCTCAGGTCATTATCTCACGGTTCATGAATTTGAGCCCCATATCAGGCTCTGTGCTGACAGTGTGGAGCCTGCTTGGAATTCTCTCCCCTGTTCTCTTTACCCCTACCCCACTCTCTCTCTCTCTCTCTCTCTCTCTCTCTCTCTCTCTCTCTCTCTCTTAAAATAAATAAACAAAATAAAATTTGAAAAAGATGTGCTCAACTAGGATACTCACATGCAAAAGAATAAATGTGGACCTCTGCCTCATACCATAAACAAAAAGCAACTCAAAATGGATCAGGGTAAGGTCTAAACATATAAAACATCTAGAAGAAAACAGGTGTGAATCAATAACTAATTATGATAGCTCCTTATGGAGCATCATATACTTTATGCTGTTCACCCTATCAGGATCCTCAGATATATGTAATCTCACTTTTAAAAGTGATGGACATTTGCAACTACATGGATGGAACTAGAGGGTATTGTGCTAAACGAAATTAGCCAGAAAAAGACAAATATCATATGCCTTCACTCATATGAGGAATTAAAGATACAAAACAGATGAACACGCAGAAGGGAAGCAAAAAGAATATAAAAACAGGGAGGGGGACAAAACATAAGGGACTCTTAAATATAGAGAGTAAACAAAGGGTTTCAGGAGGGGTTGTGGGGGAGGGGGGAATGGGCTAAATGCATAAGGGGCATTAAGGAATCTACTCCTGAAATCATTGTTGCACTATATGCTAACTAGTATGTAAATTCAAAAAAAATTTGAATTCAAAAAAAATTTACTAGGATGTAAATTCAAAAAAAAAATTTAAGTAATTAATTAAAAATAAATAAATAATAAGTAAATAAATAAAAGTGATGCAGCCCACTCACCCTTTCTCCCCTTATCTCTGTTTCCCACCCACCATACATCAGCCCCACCCCTATCTTAAAATTATGGCTTAAAATGAGTACAAAATAGCTTCAGATACTTACTTCTCAATTTAAAGTTGTACCTATAAACATTCCTATATTATTTCTCCATTTTCTACTGTTTCTTTTTCAGGTCATCAAAGTTGGACATGAAATAAAGAGTGATAAGGTACAAATAATACATTAATCATTCACTTTTAATATTAAAATGCTATTTCAAACACACACATAGCAAGGCCTTCCTACTGGAATCAGGAAGTATCAGAGAGGATGAATGTATTTAAACTGCAGGGTTGACTATTTTGAGATAAAATCAAGTAACAGTCAACAAACAGCCTTACATATTCTGAAACTGTAAGAGGGATGTTCTAAAGCTGCCACAGGAGGGGTTAAGTGGTGAAGTTTGTGATGAGTCCAAAACTGTTTGCAAGTTTGAATGAATCAGCATTTTTCTTGGGAAAGGGTCCACTGCTCTCCTCAGACAGACAGAACATTACAGATGCCCAATAACACCTGTTGAAAGAATAAACGAAGGGGGATCCACAGCAAGTGAGAGTCAGTAAACTCCCCCAAAACTGCTTTCTTGGTTCCAACTTTCATCACCTTCCAACTCCGGGATCATTCCAGACGGTCTTAAGCTCTCTGTTACAACTCTCTACAACTAAAATATTACACAATATAACCAAGGGTCTTACCAAGATTGGTGAATCCATCCTGAAGAGCCCACAATCGAGCCCAAGGGGCAGGGACAGGCTCCTCCGGTTCTTGGTCCTCGGGAATCGAACAGAGTTCCTGGGTGGACACCGTGTCTAAGGAGCTCAGAGTCCCCGAGCTGGAATGAGAGGACTGGCTGGATGTGGGTGCTGTGTTGGTGGAAGAGCTGGACGTGCCCTGCGAGTGTGAGGAGGAGCCATGTGTCTGGGAGGAGATGCCTTGAGACTGCGAGAAGCTGCCTTGGGACTGTGAACAGGCACCACTGCCATGGGGCGGCTGACCCTCCACATCCGTCTCCCGAGACATTACGACCTCAAAAATAAGTGGCCAATAATAAGATAAGTTTCAAGGAACAAGACTTGAAGGTCAAGAGTGAAGGATGGACATATTTACATCAGAAAAAAAAAAAAAATCCGGAGCATGAATGTTCTGCAAGAGTTAAAATTCTAACAGTCTATGGGAAGCCTGCGTGGCTTAGTCAGTTGAGCATCCAACCCCTGATTTCGGGTTAGGTCATGATCTCACGGTTTGTGAGATGGAGCCCCACATTGGGCTCTGTGCTGACATGGAAGTCTGCTAGGCTCTCTCTCTCCCTCTCTCTCTCTCTCTCTCTCTCTCCACCCCTCCCCCTCCACACATGAGTGCACACTCTCTTTCTCTCTCTCAAAATCAATCAACTTTAAAAAAAATTAAATATTTCAAAAATATAGATCTAAATAGATCTATAGTTCTTGTGGGCTGAGGTTGCCATCAGATCACTTTCACCAGATCAGTGTTTTGTAGGGCAGCCACAAACCACAGGGAAAAGAAAGAAAAAAATTATTTGAAGGTTATAAATAAGCTAAAAGCAATTAACTAAGTTGGGGGTGGGAGGGAAGACTGATAACAGCTTACATTCATCTAATTTTTTAATTTTTTTTTTAATTAGAAATGAAACCTAAAAGGTATTCACTAATACAATCAACACTACACTTAAATGTCATGTTTTGGAACAAGAAAGAAAGGGAATGTTAGTGTGGATTGGAGTAGAAGATGATTAAAGAGAAACTATATACTAACTCACCGCACCACTCAAGAGGTGACCATTTATGTAAAATGTCACTAATGCCCCTCCTCCCCCAAACCTGCCCCAAGACTGTGCAGACCACATCCTGTTTGTTCATTCTAGATTCCTTGACTCCTAACTAAGGGCCAGGCTACTTAATGAGACAGAACACAAAGAAGACTGCTCTAAACAACTCCACCTAGCACTTTGTGATGCTAAGTTACTATGCTCATCTTTTCAGCATCCTAAATGGCCTTCCAGCCCAACAAAATTCTGCCGAAACCATAAGAGGTTCCCACCCTTGTTTAGAATTAACTTGATGGGCAGTTTAATAACAGAAATTATAGTAAAGTCAATCCTTAACTTTAAATCCCTAATGTGATTTTTATAAAGAGGGGAGAGGGGCATTCTCTCTTCTCCCCAGATATCCATACTCAGGTATTCCTCCAGGAGAACATAGTAAACATTATACTGACATTTATATAGCTTTCCAAATACAAAGATCCTGATGACTTCTTCTTAAGCCACACCAGTAAGGTGATGCCAGAGCTGAGTACGCCAGCTCTAATACTACCTCGGTCAAGGTTGCAACCTATTTCAGCTTTTTGAGCGAGACTTCTCCACCCTGAAAACTGGGAAAAGACTGTGTCAAGTAGTGGCTGCTATGCTTGCTTATTGGTGAGGGTCCACCAAACGGAAAACACATTACTCTCAGCCATGAGGAGGAAGTATATGGAAAGGTTGGAGGCAAACAAATCTGGAGTAGATAGATCTTGAGGATTAAATGAGATGACACATGAACGTTCCTCCCCCAGCAATGCTTGATAATTGGGAGAACAGAATTCCAGTCCCAAAGAATCAGACAACCGGAAAAGGGTTTGCAAGTGTAACACATTTTTTTTTTTCCAGATAGAGAAACTGAATCCCAAGGTGGACTGGTGCCCTCCTACCCTCTCCTCGCCAAGCCATCCCACACACTTACTTATGGACACTCGCAGGACATCCTCTTACACAGATCAGTGTGTTTCCAGTTCCTGCAGCGCCTAGCAGCTAAGAGTGAGTTCTCAATAGGTTTTTTTTTTCTAAATTGAATCTAAAATATGGTAGTAATTACTAACATGTATATAACTCTTTACAAAGCAACTTCCCTCTGATTTTGAAGAACACAACTTTGTTCTTTCTTACCATGCACGTCTGGGCCAGTTTCAGCTTGTAAGTAACAGGGGAAGTGAACTTCACCTCGAAGTTCATCTACGAAGGAAGACAGTCGCCCACGCGTTCCTCTCCTCCCCCAAACCAAGCTCAAAAACCAAAGTGAAAATTCGGGAGATTCAGTTTGCATCAAGACCCCAAAAACGGGAATCGAACCCCCCAAACACCCAAGAGAAAGTTCCCCACTATGACTCACCGCGTGAGCCCACCTGCAGCCACACAACTCACAGCAGCCGCAGCCAGCACTGTGGCGCTAAACAAGCACATACGAACTCCACCCTCAGCCAATCAAAACAGCCCTCCGCCGCCGCCAGACCAATGAAAAGCAGCCGATGTGGTCGTCTACGCGTAGCCTCAATGCTTTCTGGGAGTTGTAGTTTAATATGAGGAGCGGGATTCCCAGAATCCAGGTTCCCCCGGGTTATCCCGCCCCCTTAGCTGCCCAGCCAATCAGCAGCAGTAGTCTGGTTGGGCCCTCGCTCACGGTTTCCCCCCGCAGGTGACCGTGGCGAGACAGGCCGCGGCCAGATGTGGGGCGGAAGGACCGGCGCCTTGCTCCGGGTGTGGGGGCTGTGGCCCGCAGGGGTCCGCGGGCGGAGACCTCTAGGCTGCAATGCTGCGTCTCTGGCCGGAAACAATTCCCCCCAGTGTTGGAACTGCGGCGGCCCAGGGGTCCCCAAGCGGGGAGACGGGTTCTTCTGCCCACAGTGCCGCGCGCTGCAGCCACCTGACCTCACTCGAGATTACTTCAGCCTCATGGACTGGTACGGAAGGCGGTTTCAGGAAATGCGCCGGGCGAGAGACACATCCGGGACTGGCGAACTAGCGTGGAGGGCCGATCATGCTTGGGAAGGAGAAGGCGGGACCCGTTAGGTCGATGGGCGGAGCCCTAGAGAACTGGGGGCGGGGACTGGGGGGGTGGGATTGCGACCCGTGAGAGAGGAAATTGAGGGGTGGGCCTAAGGATAGGCTTTTGATCGATAGAGACCAGAATGGAGGGAGGACTGGAAGGGCGGGGATGGAATTCTGGGGGAATTGAAGGAGGCTTCAGTGGAGGGAGGGTTGGGACCTGAGAAGGGAAGCTGAGGGGCGGGGCCTGAGGGAAATGTACTAGAGTGCCAGAGAAAGCAGACTTGAAGGACAGGGTCAAAATGGTTAAAGTTGGAGTGAGGATTTTCAGAAAGGGGTACTGAGGTGTTATGCAAAATAAGGGAGTAAATGAGCTTCCAGGTTTGTGAACACATGGAGATGTTGGGAGAATAGTGCGCCTAGAGGGCTTGGTTGCTCCCCGGAACTTTCCACCTACGCATCTCTTCCATCTGACTGCTCCTGAGTTACATCCCTTTATAATAAATGGATAATCTAGTAAGAAAAACAAACAAAATAGGGTGTAAAAGCACAGAAAACTGAACGTTGTGGTCTGAGTCTGAGGGAGAAGGGAGATTTGGAAGGAGAGAGACTGAGAAATGACTTTTTCCTGTTTTCCTCCAATGGTCGAGGAGCTTGGAGAGAGGTGAAGTTTGGACCGAGCCAAACTATTATGACAGAGCAGCCTCCACGAATAGAAAGTGAAAGGGACTGGGTTAAAATAAAGTGGGAGACTAAGATGAAGGGACCTGGCCTCTCAAAAGATCGGGTGGGATTCGAAATGGTCCCCTTAACTCTGGGATCTGCCCCTGCCAGTCACTGCATACTTATGATGGGCTGCAGTAACACTATCCTTTAAGTTCTTGGAACACGCCCATCTCGTTCGCACCTCAGGGCCTTTGCATGTTCCCTCTGCCTCTGCATGACTTTTTCCTCTCATCTTTGATTTTTTTTTTTTAAGTGTATTTATTTATGTGGTGGGGTTGGGCTGGGCAGAGAGAGAGGATCCCAAGCAGCTTCCAGAACACAGGGCTCAAACTCATGAACCCTGAGATAATGACCAAGAGTGTGTCGCCTAACTGTGCCAACCAGGCACCCCTGATTATTTTTCATCATTATTCAGGTCTCAGCTGAAATGTCATCTCTTTGTCCACCACATCTACCCCTTTCTCTGACCTTTTTCTCTTTTTTTTTTAATTTTTTAACGTTTATTTATTTTTGAGACAGAGAGAGACAGAGCATGAACGGGGGAGGGTCAGAAAGAGGGAGACACAGAATCTGAAACAGGCTCCAGGCTCTGAGCTGTCAGCACAGAGCCCAACGTGGGGCTCGAACTCACGGACCGCGAGATCATGACCTGAGCCGAAGGCGGCCGCTTAACCGACCGAGCCGCCCAGGCGCCCCTTTTCTTTCCTTTTTTTTTTTTTTTTTTTAATTTTTTTGACCCTTTTCTCTTTCACAGCACCTACCACTTTTTAAGGTTATCTCTCTCTCTACATGTTTATTGCATCTTCCCCCATGAGAACAGGAACCAGGCCCACAGTATAAAAATACAAAAATGTTTGAGGCATGAATTTTATCTCCCAATTTCCTTACAGCAACCGTGCCTTCGGAGTGGACACAGCGAAGCTCCAGAATAGGTACCAGCAGCTACAGCGTCTTGTCCACCCTGATTTCTTCAGCCAGAGGTCTCAGGTAGCCTGTGAGCCACCCCTAATCATACCCAAACACTAGTGCGTGGTGGGGTGGGTAGCAGTGGCTTTGCAGTGATGTGATTATCAGAGACAGAGCTAAACAGCCAGCTCCACCCTGGGACAGCTTGACCCCAGACTGCCAGGCCCTGGATCTACCCTGCACTCACAGCTTTTACCTGACTTCCCAGAAGAGTTAGAACCCATCTGTTGAAAATAAAGACAGCTCATCCCACACCAGTTCTACTTGATGACTTCCTTAGGTGCCGGCCCATCAGTATTTTATGAAACAGTTTGTGAATGTAATGTGGCTATACCGATGGTAATAAGATTATCTTCATCTCCACTAACAGACTGAAAAAGACTTCTCAGAGAAGCATGCGACCCTGGTGAACGATGCCTATAAGACCCTCCTGGCCCCGCTGAGCAGGGGACTATACCTTGTAAGGTGATTTCCCAACCCTTCTATGCGTGACTACATGGTATCCATTGTGCTGTGGGACAGCTGCTCCCCTGTATTCAGCAGAAGAGTGCTTGAGACCCGAGTTAGTCTAGGGACCCAAAAATAATTAGCCTCAAAGATACTGAATGGAGATAGTTTTCTCTGAATACTTGTAAATCTGCTTGCCTGATTGCATTTTTTTTTTTTTTACCATTTTCTCTAAATTTCAAGGATTGGATGGTGATGGCATTTAGGGAAGAGTAATTTGGGTTTTTGTTTGTTTGGTTTTTTGGTGGGGAGGAGCGGAGGGAAGAGTTTAGCACCTTAGAATTTTAAGATTTAGTAGAATCTTTACAAATATCTAGTTCAGTCTCCCGAGTGGAGGAATGACTCCTCCAGGGTTACACAGTCTCAGGGAGCAGAGAGGAATCCTGTCCCAGCTCTCTTATGTCAATGTGACTTTCTCATACCCTACCTTCACACTCTCACTATTAAGACAGTTTCTTTTTTTTTTTTTTTTAATGCATGGTATTCTGTTCTGAAGGGTGAGTAGGATTTATGACTCTGGCCACAGTTTCTTCAACTAACCTTACTTTCTCTGCTTCATGTCCCAATAGCTAAAGCTCCATGGAGTAGAGATTCCCGAAGGGACAGATTATGCAATGGACCAGCAATTCCTCATGGAAATAATGGAAATCAATGAAAAACTTGCAGAAGCTCAAAGTGAAGCTGCTATGAAAGAGATTGAATCTATTGTCAGAGGTAAAAGATAAAATACATGCATTTTATTGCTGTTGTGAGTACATGCCCAAGGTTAAGTGGAGAACGAATATGAAAACTACATATTGGTCATCATAATGATTCAGGGAGTATGTTTTTTCTTGATTATACTGAAAGCAATTTTGTCTGAAGTTTAGACTTGCAACATCCATAGCTTGCCAGAAGGCAGCCTTAAACCAAGAATGTAATAGTATTTTGCAGATTGCAATCCTCCTTCCTACCCATGACATCATTTAAAAAAAATGTTTTTATTTACTCTTGAAGGAGAGAGATAGAACGTGAGTGGGGGTGGGGCAGAGAGACAGGGAGACACAGAATCCCAAGCAGACTCCAGGCTCTGAGCTGACAGCACAGATCCCGATGCGGGGCTCAGACTCACAATCTGTGAGATCATGACCTGAGTGAAGTTGGTTGCCCAGCCGACTGAGCCACCCAGGCGCCCCCGCATGACATCATTTAGATGTTATTATTGTCTCTGACAAAAATAAATAGGGCTTTCTGTGCACTGACAGTGTGGAACCTGCTTGGGATTCTCTCTCTCTCCCTCTCTCTCTACTCCTTCCCCTGGTAAAATAAATGAATAAAAACTTAAAAAAAAAAAAAAAGAGCCTGGGTGGCTCAGTTGGTTGAACGTCCAACTTGGTCTCAGGTCATAATCTCATGGTTCATGGGTTCGAGCCCTGCATCAGGTTCTACACTGACACCTCAGAGCCTGGAGCCTGCTTCAGATTCTGTGTCTCCCTCTCTCTCTCTGCCCCTTCCCCCCTTGTGCTCGCTTGCTCTCTCTCTCGCTGTCTCAAAAATAAGGAAATAAACATTAAAAAAAAAAAAAAAAAAGAATAAATAGGCCTTAAAAGTTCATGGAAATGCCCAAGGTCACCTTGCAGAGCAAAGACTGAAAAACTGACTTCTGATCTCATTGCTTTGCTTTCCATCTTATTGCATAGTGTATCAGGGGTCTCCAGAGAAACAGAACCAATAGTATATATGTATACATGGAGAGAGAGAGAGAGGGAGAGAAAGAGAGAAACCTATTTTAAGGAATTGGCTTACATAATTGTGAAAGCTAGCAAGTCTAAAATATGGAGGGCAGACCAGAAGGCTGGGAAACTCAGGCAGGACTTCTATGCCCACATTATCAAAGCTAATCTTTACTTAAAGTCAACTGGCTGTAAATGTTAATCACATCTACAAAATACCTTCACGGCAACATCCAGACTAGCATTTGACTAAACAACTGGACCATAGCCCAACCAAGTTGACACATAAAATTAACCATACCATGTACAAAAGTTTCCAAATTCTCCTGATTGTATAAACGTATGTACTTTCACAAACGTTTGTGGCATGCCTACTATGTATCAAGCATTGTGCACGACACAGTGAATAAGAAACACACGGCCCGGGCCCATGTCTTCATGGAGTTTATATATTTCAACTCATTGTGTCCAAAATGGAGTTCATGAGCCTCTCCCCTCCCTCCTTAAAAAAACTACTCCTCTGCTGATGTTCCCTAAGTAAATGACACCATCCAGTTGCAAAGTCCAAAACACTGAGGAGGCATTCTTAACAACTTATCCTCCCTTACCCCCGTAGACAGTCATCACCAAATCTCAAAATGCCAACCCAATGTGACCCAAATCTGTGTTTTCACTGCCAGCACCCTGTTCCAAGCTACCATTCATTCTCACTGGGACAACTGCGGTAGCTCTAGACTGGTCTAGCTGTACCCTCAATCAAATATATTCCTACATTGTGATTTGTGTGATCTTTTGAAACCCAAGTCTAATCACATTACCCTTGGTCTTACTTTAAAATTTAACTGGCTTCCCAGTTCAAGATCAAAGTCTTATGGGCTTCCAGGGACCTGTATGGTCTGTCTTCCTCCCAATTGCCTCTCCACCTTAGGCACACAGGCTATTTCTAGTTCTTCATCTGTATCAAGCACCTTTCTACCCTAGGGCCTTTGCACAGGCTGTTCTTTTGCTTGAAACCCTCTTCTACTTCTAGTTAACTCTTCTTCCTCCAGATCTGGGGGCAATCATCCCTTCCTCAGAGAATCCTCAGCAAACCTCTTTATCTATACCTTTTGACAGTGGACACTCCCCCCTTGTAGGACCAATCACAGTTGTAACCTTACTGTTCTACATGAGATTATTTGACCAATTTCAACCTCCCTCCCTCCTTGGACTGGAAGTTCTGCAGAGGCAGAAATTGTATCTGCTTTTTGGTCCCCTCATATCCTCAGCCCGTGAAATATTATTCCACAGGGTATATTGGTGTGTAACAGGGGTTCAGTAGATATTGAGTGAATCATGATCAAAGAGTTACTTGTTTAAAAGCAGTAAAATGACAATTGGTGAGGGGAGGTCTATCAGCCAGGAGTGTATCAACAGCCTTACACCTGGGTGGTGTTGGGAGAAGAATTCAATGCTTGCAATTGGAAGCCCCATCTGCACAGCTTTGGAAGGCAGAGGACTATGATGCTGTACTGTAAGGGAGTCTTGGGTGCACTGTCAACACTGCCACTGAATTTATGTGTGACCTTGAGCAAGTGACTTCACCCCTCCGAGCCTCAGTTTCCTTATCTGTAAAATGGAGATAACATCAGTACTGGTTGTTACAAGGATTAAAGTAAATGAAATAAAACAGGTAAAACGCTTAACACAGTGTCTGGCCTGTAGCAGGTGCTCAGTCATTGGTGGGGGTTATTCTAGCCCTAGAGTAAATGTCTGGTTTTGAACAGGTCACTGACCTTCGTTTAGATTAATTCCTAAGTTTCTTTCCCTATAGGCACCTGCTAAGGCCCAAGGTTAGTGAGTGCGTATTCGAGGGCATAGGGCTAGTTAGATCTGGGACAGAACTTCAGAGCCTCTTGACTCCTAAGCCAGTGTTCTTTTGCCAACACCACATTGCCAGTTTCCCGCCACTGTATGGGAATCTGGACACTTGGGGTCTGTTCCCAGCTCCTCCACTCAACTGACCATGTGACCATAGGGCCATCCCCCAATACCTGTAACTGCCTGCAATGCGGATATAACATGTTTGAAAATGCTTTGAAAGCAGGCACCATATAAATGATTGATACTATTTATATCTGGAAAACATACATAAAATTCTTCATTTTCTAATGAAGACCCAGCAGAAACATCAGGTGGCCGCTTCTCTACCTCATTTGGCATCTTCTCTCTTATGGTACAACATAATCTAAATGTTTCATTTTCCTGGGCGGCTGTAGAAGTTGCAAGAGATTGCTTGAAACACTGTAATGCCCTGCCCTAGGCAATCCTAGCTTGCTAATTTTCTCCTGCTTGAAATCTGGAAGATTCATACTACTTGATGGAGATAATCAAAGCATTTCCTTGTCCTGTTTATTTTATTTATTTATTTTTATGACTCTATAGCCATTTTACAAGACTTAGTGATTGCCCTTCAGACCTTTTTTTTTTATGTTTATTTATTTTTGAGAGAGAGAGAGGGACAGAGAAAGAGAGACAGAGGATCCCAAGAGGGCTCCATGCTGACAGCAAGGACCCTGATGTGAGGCTTGAACTCACAAACCGTGAGATCATGACCTGAGCTAGAATCTGCTGTTTAACCAACTGAGCCACCCGGACGCCCCACCCCTCAGACCTTTCGTAAGTAGAAAAACATAATGTAACTAGGGTCAGCTGCACCAAACAGGAGCTGTCTTCATGGGACATGTGGAGACAGAGCTTATGAGGCCTTACTCTGGAATCTAAGCTCCCTGTTGTGTTGTGTTGTGTTGTGCTGTAACCAGCTACAAAGTGTTACCCTGACATCATTAGTCTATTTGAATAGAAAAATTAAGATACTGATTTTCTCTTTCAGCTAAACAGAAGGAATTGAGTGACAATGTGAGCAAAGCTTTTGAACAAGGTACTTTCTTCATTTCTTGACTTTCTTAAATATGAAAATAGATTGTAAGCACTGAGGTATAACTCTCCATTCAATAAGTAGCTATTTTATATCCATCCTAGGATAGGTACATGAGGAGCTATAAAATATAGGCAAGCCTACATTTCTCCCTTCCAAGGATTCACAGCCTTGCTAGAGAACCAAGTGGTATGCCAAAAAACAGTGATATGCCAGAGAAAGATTACATGAAAGTGCTTCTATTCCCCTTTAGCAAGTGGGAGAAGTGAAGGTGAGGGTTGTAGGCTGAAGCCAACAGAGACAGATCCTGAGGGCAAGGCTGCACAATCAACATTTGGCAAAGCCTGCACACCCCTTTCTTCTGCAAAGCCCAGGAGGAGAAGCCCGTGGCAGAGCTGTGCCCAAATTACAAATATGGGCTATTCATCCTGGTCCCCATTGCTCCTGGTTCCCAGGTTGAAGAGATTGGGTCTTTTTCTAGCTATTTTGAAGCAAGAACAGTCTTTTTCTCCATCCCAGACTTATGCTGCCCCTTAAATAACAAAATAATGGCCTTTTACCCTTTACCTGAGAGATCATTTGATTGTGGGAAGCAAAAGGCCACTCAAGCTAGCCCAGATCAAAAGGAGATTATTATAATGACTTGGGACTACTCCCAGAATCCAAAGAGAAAGTCCCTGTGATGATTATAGTACACAGTGTGATAAGAGCTCTTCTGGGGCAAAGCCTGGGGACCAGAAAGCAGTCTGGAACCAAAGCTGTGGTCACGGACTCAGTGCCTCTGGCAATTCCATTCCATCCTCTCCTCACTGTAAACCAGCCCCATCACCTTCCTCATTAGCGTGCAGTGCTCCAAAATGCCCTCCCCCACGGGATGACTCTTTAGTCCTCCTTGGTCTATTACCTTATAAGAACAAAGACTTTGACCATCTGATTAGAGTCCCCTAGACCCATCCCTGGATTCCTGAGAGAGGGGATTTGATGGAGCCAGATGCCCATTCCAGTCCAGCTAGTGCTGAGGGCATAGGCTTATACAGGGTGCCGCCCAGTTTGCAGGGACTGTAGGAGCCCATTCGGAGGCATAGGCAGAGGGAAGGTCTCTAAAAAGATGTGAGAGAAAGCTAGATTAACAGCAGAAGAGTCTGGAACCTAGCCTGATACATCTGCCTGAAATCCATGAACCCAGCCCCCTGGCTAAGATGTTCACGTATTCCACCATCTCCTAGCACATGTTGGCAGATTTTTATGTTTTTTATTATGAAATATAATTTTTAAGAAGACTACACAATACGTAAGTACAATTTAAGGAATAAAAACAAAAACACTCACGTCCCTACCGCTCAGCTTAAGAAATAGAACATGCACAAAAGATATAAAATGGCCAATAAGCACATGGGAAGATGTGCAGCATCACTAATGATTAGGCAAATGGAAATCAAAACCACAGTGAGATACTACCTCATACTCATTAGGATGGCTATTAGAAAACCCAGAAAATGACAAGTATTGGTGAGGGTCTAGAGACATTGAAACCCTTGTGCACTAGTGAAGGGGATGTAATACAGTGCAGCCACCGTGGAAAACGGTACGGTATTTCCTCAAAAAGTTAAAAATAGAATTACCATACAATCCAGCAATTCCACTTCTTTTTTTTTTTTTTTTTAAGTTTATTTATTTGTTGGAGTGGGAGGAGAGAGAGGGAGAGAGAGAAATCCAGAGAAGGCTCTGCGCAGAGCCTGATGCAGGGGTCAGACTCACCAACTGTGAGATCATGACCTGAGCCGAAATCAAGAGTCAGAGGTTTAACTGACTGAGCCACCCAGGCACCCCCAGCAATTCCACTTCTGAGTTTACCCCTGAAGAATTGACTCAAAGAGATACTTGCATACTGTCAAAGATAAAGCCTTATACTAGTTAAAGTTGTAAGGATAGGTTTTGATCAGTAATAACTATCGCCATAGGGAAAAGAGTGCGGTGTGAACTGAACTCCAATTTGTACAGAGATGACTGAGCATTTTAAATTAAAGGGAGAATGAGGGAGTAGGGAGGGGGGTGAGTGTTGTCTCAGTAGAGTCTGGGAAATGAAAATTACAAAAATGGGAAGGTAGTGGGGGTTGGTCCATGTGAAACCGACCTGGGTTGCTAACTGGGGCTTAATTAGAGTGGGGCTCAGACACTAAGAGACAGGCCCTATTTTCTAGTGTTGGCTGCAACAAACAGTATGAAAGAGACAGCAAGAGACATTCTTCTTTCTCGGAACAATGGAAGTCCATTTCTCATTCGATCTCCCTTTGTTTATGAAGATCTAGCTGAACCATCTGTTGCTACTTGGTAGGAGAAGATATTTACTGGATGACATGAGCAGTCAGGCATTTAATGAGGAGCGTCTCTATGGAAACAAAAAGAAAAACAAAGATTAATGGTGGGAGCAGACTATAAAGCCAGTTTCTGAGTCCACAGGGTGGGCAGTCACTTAAGACTCTAAACTCTTAAGCATCTTTACATGGTGGTATGAGGATGCCAGTGACAATCTGATAGATATCTTAGTTTATAGTTTGAATGCCAGTAGTGATGGCATAGACATCAATGTCACAGTCATGGCTACTTCCCAGAGCAGAGCATGGAAGACACAGGAGTTCTGGTGGATTTTCTGGGTAGCCCAAGTGGCAGCAATGGTTGCCCACACGTGATTTGTAGTGACAGGTTCTTTGATGTTTATATCAAGTTGTCTGGCATCAGCTTACAGGGCTTTTTCAGATCCTGGAGGAAAGGGCAACCACAAGACAAGCTGAGTCCCAATAAGGACCTGGGCAGTCAGGTTTTAGTTCTCAGTGATGCCAAGTCAGGAGAGAAGGAGAAAAATGGGAAACAGAAATTTGGAGAGTTGTAGGCAAATATTGAAGGAAACTAGGAGGATTAAGAATTTGCTAAGGGCTAAAAAAAAAAAAAAGAATTTGCTAAGGTCTGACAAAATGTGTAAGATGGCAGGAAGGATCCAGTTCGGTTTTCGGGAAGATAATAACCTCAGAGACAATGAGCAGAAATAGATTCTGGGTGTGACATACTTTTCCACTGTCATGAAATTTCTCTCTACAGTCACCCCCCTTTTTAATCAAATGTTATCAGTGGGGTGCCTGGGTGGCTCAGTCAGTTAAGGCTCCGACTCTTGATTTCAGCTCAGGTCATGATCTCAGGGTTTGTGAGTTCAACCCCCGCATTGGGCTCTGTGCTGGCAGCTCGGAGACTGCTTGGGATTCTCTCTCTCCCTCTTTCTCTCCCCCCCCCCCCCCCAAATTAATTTTAAAAATTAAAAAAAAAAGGTTATCAAAGTAAGAATAGTTTTGTTTGCAAAATAATTTTAGTTTCATTAAAGTTGGCCTAATTATTAACATGAGTGAAATGAGAATGGTAATCAACCATACAGATTAAGTTTCCTTTATGGAACCTTTTATAAGGAATCTCAGATTGGACTTTAAAAAGCCTCTTAATGCTAGGAATTCAAGTGAAGAATTCACTGTCAGACATCACCTGCACTACCTATGGACTCGGGTGAATTCCTCTTTTCTCGAGGTTTCCCAAAACATCCTAAATTTCCTGGGCCTATTGGGAAATGACCTACTTTACTCACGTGTAAGGCTGGGAACCCTATAAGCCAGGTGCCAGCCCAGTTTTTTTCCTAGAGGGCTTTGTAAGCTTTGGCTCCATAAAGTCAACCTTACCTCCTTAAAATTGTCCATTCTGTCTGATTTTATGCATCATTTTCAAATGTGACATTCCTATCAAAGCTTTGGTCATAAAACCAATGTTTTAAATTGTGTTCTATTCTATTGACTATCTTCCTGAGCCTAGCAAATAGATATAGTGCCATGAAAATAATAGTGTCTTTCTCTGATGGACTTATTTTGCTATGCATTATACTCTCTAGTTCCATCCATGTTGTTGCATATGGCAAGATTTCATTCTTTTTTTTATGGCTGAAAATATCCCATTGTGTATATGTATATACCACTTATCTACCCATTCATCAGTAGTGGACACTTGGGCTGTTTCCTTAATTTGGCTATTGTAGACAATGCTGCTATAAACATCAGGGCACATGTCTCCCTTCGAATTAGTATTTTTGTATTCTTTGGGTTAATACCTTGTAGTGTGCAATTGCTGGGTCATAAGGTGGTTCTATTTTTAACTTTTTGAAGAATCTCCATCCTGTTTTCCAGAGTGGCTGTACCAGTTTGCATTTAAGAAACAAAACAAATGAGAAGTGCCTGGGTGGCTCAGTCAGTTAAGCATCTGACTTCAGCTCAGGTCATGATCTCATGGTTCATGAGTCTGAACCCTGCATTGGACTCTCTGCTGTAAGAGCAGAGCCCACTTGGGATCCTCTGTCGCAATCTTTCTCTGCCCCTCCACCGCTCGCACATGTGTGTGTGTGTGTGGTGGTGGGAGGGGGGCAGTTATGTGCACTCTCTTAGAAATAAATAAATGTTAAGATTTTTTTTTAATAAATGAAACAAATGATTATATGGGAAAAAAAGAGGAAGACAAACCAAGAAACACACTTCTAACTATAGAGAACAAACTGATGGTTACCAGAGGGAAGGTGGGTGAGGGGATGGGTTAAGTAGGTGACGGGGATTAAGGAGATGAGCATTGGATGTTGTATTTAAGTGCTGAATCACTAAATTGTATACCTGAAACTAATATGACACGTTATGTTAGCTAACTGGAATTTAAGTAAAAACTTAAATAAATACATAAATATTTTTTAAATGTTTGTTTGTTTGCTTATTTATTTATTTATTTATTTATTTATTTATTTTTGAGAGAGAGCACACACACAAGCAGGGAAGGAGCAGACAGAAAGGGACACACAGAATCCCAAGCAGGCTTGCTGCCAGCACAGAGCTCACTGCAGGGTTCTAACCCATGAACCATGAGATCATGACCTGAGCCAATATCAAGAATCTGTGCTCAATCAACTGAGCCCCTAAATATTTTTTTAAAAACAAGACTAAAACTTCCTGTATCGTTAAGTCATAAACCCATACGCTTTTTTGGTTTTGTTTTTATTATATATGTATGTATGTATGTATGTATTTTAAAGAGAGAGAGCACAGGTGGGGAGAGAGACAGAGAGAGAGAATCTTAAGCAGGCTGCACCATCAGTATGGAGCCCAACACAGGGCTAGATCCCGTGACCCTGGGATCACGACCTGAGCCAAAATCAAGACTTTTTCTTTAGAGTTTTGAAAATCCTAACTTCATTTATCATTTTAGTCTCAGGGTTATTTAAGCAATGCCATCAGAAGGCTATACCTCAGGAGTACCTGGTACAATCTTTTTTCGAGGGTCTCTGAGACAGGCCCTTTTTGTTAACTACAGTAGTCTGCCATGTCGCTGGTTGCAAGAGCTTGTAGGAAAGCATCAGCGTTAGGCAACAACTCTCTGGATAGCAGAAGACTTAAAGTGACTTACGGTTAAAGACCTGATGAAAGATCATTGTAAAAATACTACGGTTGACAAGGAACTGTGGTTGTTTCTGTAACACAGCACATTTTGAAATAATAACTAGGCTGATCACAATATGCAAGAACCTATTATAGATAGAGCATTGACAAATTTCTGGGAACTTTATAAGATTTCTGAAATAATAGCATTCTACCCATACAAATATAACCTCCAGAAAGTTAAGTATCTCTTCTTTGACAATGCTTCCCATGTAATATAATTTCATCAAATAAACCTAATTAGTTTAACATCTCTCCTTTTAGAAGGTGAGAGAACAAATCCTTTGAGGTTCTCCAGGGACCCTCAGAAAATTCAAACTTAGTTTTAGGTCAGGAAGACTTTATTTAGAATTTGATTTTGGGAAGTTGTCTGAAGTGTCGAATGCTTTAAATATTTTAGGATCATAGGTCATTGTGAAACAATACTTAGTTATCCACTTAACAATGTGATGATAAAATATTTCAAAGGCAAATACAAGCGGTAACATGAAAAATAAAGAACCTTAGCTCCAAATAGGGAGAAGACTCTTCTCTGAAGCAGTGAAGGACATGATAAAGACAACATGAAGCACAGGAAGTTACTTTGATAAGACACACAATGTATGTTTCCTAGGCAGATTACTCAAAAGGTTAAGAAAAATATTTTGCAGTCTTTTATTAAGAGCAGACCAATGACCCAAGAAACTTTGTCATTTTAACAGAACGAAAACCAAACTCTGGTTTTCTATCAGTGCGCTATTGACGTTAAAGTTCATTTCAAGGGGCGCCTGGCTGGCTCAGTCAGTGGAGTGTGCGACTCTTGATCTTAGGGGTATGAGTTTGAGCCCACATTATGTGTAGAGATTACTTGAGAAAAATAAAATAAAATCTTAAAAAAAAATAAAACTAAAAAACTGAAATTCATTTCAAAAATATGTATAAATCCACTTAATCTTAACCAGCTTTGACCTCACAACATAAAATTCCTTTTCCACAAATGCTCTACAACTTTCAATACCCATTCATATTTTGTTGTATTCCTTCCTTCCTTCACATTCTACTTTAGGACAAAATTACTCCTTTATCTCAACAGAAACATATTCTTCATTCTTCGTGTACTTTTCACATAAAAACATATCCTACGTTTCTTCCAATCTTTGTACCCTGAAGTTGTAGTCATATTTTTTTATATATTGATTATAAATTTTAACCATTAGTAAGCTTTATTTTACTAGGAAGTAGACAATTGAGAACTATAATATGCCAGTATTCTGTAGTAGTAAGCAAATTTATGACTATACCATCTCATAAGATGTAGAGGTATATATGCTTCCTATAATACATTTTTTTTTTAATATGGCAAGAACATGTTTATTAAGAGACCCAAAATCCTTGGCCTCCCTGGACCATGTAAAAATAAATAGCCAATGGACACCTAGGTGGCTCAGTCAGTAAAGCATCCAACTCTTGATTTCCACTCAGGTCATGGGACTGAGCCCCAAGTTGGGCCCTGCACTGGCAGCATGGAGCCTGCTTGGAATTCTCTCTCCCCCCCCCGCCCCACCCCAGCTCACACTCTCTCTCTCTCTCTCTCTCTCTCTCTCTCTCTCTCTCTCAAAGTAAATAAACATTTAAATATATATATAAATAAATAAATAGGCAAAAATATATAAATTTCAGGGTATCCGGGTGGCTCAGTCAGTTAAGCATCCGACTCTTGATTTCAGCTCAGGTCATGATCTCACGGTTTCGTGAGTTCGAGCCCGGTATGGGCTCTGTGCTGACAGCAGGGAGCCTGCTTTAGATTCTGCCCCTCCCCTCTTTCTCTCTAAAATAAAGTAACTTAAAAAAAAAAAAGTATATAAACTTAAACTTTTGCTTAATAGTAAATGTTTTAGTAGTGCCTGTGCGGCTCATACAGTTAAGCATCATTCTTCAGCTCAAGTCACGATCTCAGCCCCGTGCCATCAGGCAGGGTGAGTTCAAGCCCCACACATCAGGCTCTCTGCTGTCAGCGCAGAGCCCACTTGGGATCTTCTGTCCCCCTCTCTCTGCCCCTCCTCCGCTCTCTCTCTCTCTCGCTCTCTAAACAATAAGTAAACATTTAAAAAATAGTAAATGTTTTAGCACTTTATCTTATTTAGAAGTTATTTAGATATTTCATGAATATCCATTATTTAACTTAGTTTACTTAGCAAGACTAAGGTTTCAAGTTGCCAGGAAGATTTTGGACATGATTTTTAGGCAGCATATCATAAAACATAATTTTTGTTGGGATAAATAAAGTTTGTCAGAATGATTTAATTTGAGTAATATCAGATTTACCATCTCTAGAATCTTAAACATCTAGTTAAATATAATATTAGGTTATTTGACCAGTAAGTCCAAATAGAATGAAAATGTATGTTTGCATTATATTTAATGTTAGCAACTCTATAAACATGCCTATTTTATTAAACCCAACAATATCAAGTTAG